TTTAAAAATGATAATAAAAATCGTGATTTCATTTAAATTTATACATTTTTGAAAGGCACAACTGCATTTTTGCTTTAAACAGGTCAATCTATGGTGTGATTGAAACATTTTCATACATATATATTTGAACACAAAAACGCCGCTTAAGGGCAGGTCCAAGTGAGGCAGCGCCATCTACATTGATACTAAAATTTTGGAAAATTTTCAACAGCCTTTTCTTGAAAACAAGATGGTAAAATGCTTTTTCCTTTATGGATAATTGATTATTGGCAAGATATACACCAGCTAAAACTTTTTTTGAGTTAAAATAATAAAAAAAATTTCATGTCAATAAATTAAATATGAGCACTTTTTTCACAAAAACTGTAACAGTACTTTCTCAGAAATTACAATCAAAAATGCAATTTCCATTTGGAAAATTAATAAACGCTAAAAAATACACCACCTAAGATTTACCAATCACAAAAATAACAAAAAAAAAAATTTTATTAAATATTTAACATATTGATACTGCTTTACTGATTGTGACAGCCCTTTGGTAGATTATGTATTTCAGGTGGTTAGCAACAGCGCCAATCTCCTCCTTTCGGCAAAACTGCGAAACGTCTGTTGACATATATAACCTGCCAAACGGCTGTCATAATGAGTAAAATATGTTATGTTAAATTACTTTTTATTGTTATTTTCGTGATTGGTAAATATTAGGTCGGGCATTTTTTAGCGTTTATTAATTTTCCAAATGGAAATTGCATTTTTGATTGTAATTTCTGAGAAAGTACTGTTACAGTTTTTGTGAAAAAAGTGCTCATATTTAATTTATCGACATGAAATTTTTTTTATTATTTTAACTCAAAAAAAGTTTTAGCTGGTGTATATCTTGCCAATAATTAATTATCCATAAAGGAAAAAGCATTTTACCTTCTTGTTTTCAAGAAAAGGCTGTTGAAAATTTTCCAAAATTTTAGTTTCAATGTAGATGGCGCTGCCTCACTTGGACCTGGCCTTAAGGATTTTGAGTGAAATAAATTTTATTAAGTTAAGAACATGCTGAAAACACTTTTTTGGATTCTTTACCCCCTCTTTTCTCAAAATCCTGACGTGCTATGCAAATTTGGGTGCCAGAATCGTGTTCAGAGGACGAAAATACTTTGGAAAGCACTCCGATATCAAAAATAAAAAAAAATTGAATTTTTCAATTTTATATGTAATTTATTAACATTAAAGGGTTTAAAGAGTTAAAAATTGACGGCGTGAGCTAAAAATGAATCACGCATATGAATTTGTAGTGCTAAAATGTACTTAAACGTATGTATACAAAGTGACATCAATGTGTCAGCAAATGAAAAAAAAGAAAATTTTTTTTCTTGAAAGTTAAAAGTTTTGTGGATTTGCCCATATATACATATTACGTACATTCAACACAAAACTCGTGCATTTATTTCACATATTAAACAAATATTAAATATCAATTTAATAAAATTTATTATTGAAAGCTTTATATAATATAATGAATTGGAACCTCAATTGTTTAGCTGCTAGTAAAAATTACAATTTAAAAAAAAATTATCCTTTTAGCTGTTATAGTATTCGAGATATTTATATGAATTTTTTAAAAATGTGATTTTTGGATTGCTGAGGTCGAATAAAACATAAAGAGAAATCAAAAAATCGAGTTCGAAAAATTTTGGTATTACAATGCTTTCTCCATGAGGAAGCGATAATGCCTAGTAAATTTAGTAGTATAATAAATAATAATAATTATGTTAATATATATAATTTAAACGAAATTAAGTGATTTCCATCGAAAAATGTGAATGAACTTTTTTCTTTTATCGAGTTTCTTGTATAATTAGTTTATAAATTTTTTTCACCGTATATATATATATAAGAATGAATAGTTCATTTTCGTGTCGTAAAAATTTTTAATGTACTTTTTTAACAGTCTGGCATATAATCATCAGTAAGACTGCACCTGGTCCAGACTTTACCCACTTCAACTTCAACTTTGGCACTTGTAGGTCTGCTCTTTCGTAATTTCCGAGATTCTGAGCTGAGAAAAGCTTTTCACTATATATATCATCATCATCCCATGTGAATTTTCTGCAGTTACTCTCACTAGTTTTCAGTATATACATATACACATTCATTATTCGTTCATCAAAAACTGTTTAATTTATATTTCTGCAAACTTGCGCCCCTCGACTGAACGATTTGAATTATATAAAATGCGAATTATTTCTTTCCAGTTATCATATTTTGTTGCTTTTAGTTCTCTTGTATATCTTTAAATTATCAATAATTTAAAAAAGATAATGATCTTCTAGGAAAATTATAATAATCCACCTTACGGGTAAATTCCACATTGACATTTAGGAAATATTCCAGTGACAATATAAACTATTCATGTTTAAGTTTTCATTACATGCAAAATTAATATTCAATAAACACTGCGATTTTAATTTTTAATAATTAAACAGAAACTTTCAATCAAGCTAAAACATAGATAAACATAACCTTAAAATGATTTGCTTCTTAGGTCCCTTTTACCTGAAAGCGTATCACATATATGATTGGGAGAATTTTTATTTATTAATATCAGAAAAAATTAATATTATAAATTTTTTATTCATGTCTCGGATTTTTTTTCAGAATTCGGTAAATTGTAATGATAGTGATGCTAAATAAGTGTACAAAGAACACCGCACCATATACATGGGAATTTGGGGTCCGGTGAAATTTCTTGAAACTTTGTAATTTTGTAGTTTTTGACCTCCTGAACAAAAAATGTGGGGCGCATGATTATCTCATAAAAATCATTAGCTAGAATTTTCATTTGTATGAATTTCATTTGATAGAAATTCTATTTTGACGAATTTTCATTTTTCGAATTAGTATTTGAATTACTTTCTTTGTAAACGAAATTTTATTTAACATATAGTTTTTAGGTACCGAATTTTAATTTAATATAATTTTTATTTTACCAAATTTTTTTGTTATCCAACTTTTTATTTTATAGAATTACAATTTAAACCAATTTTAATTTATCAAAATTCTCATTCAGCAGAATTTTAGTGATTCGAATTGTATAACGTCAGAATTTTTAAACTATCGAATCTCCATGTGTCAGAATTTTTATTTACACGAATTTTTATATTTAATAGAATCCCTAAAACAGAGAATTTCCATTTGATAGAAATTACAAATGTCCGAACAAGCAAGCGTTAGAAAGATTTCGGCGCTAGTTTTAAAATAAACCAATCACAATTTTCTTAATAATTTCTGATTGGTCCATTTGAAAAACTGCGCCGAAATCTTTCTGACGTTTGTTTGTTCGGCCATTTGTAATTTCTATTAAATGAAAATTCGCTGTTTTAGGAATTCTATCAAATAACAATTCGTGTAAATAAAAATTCTGACAAATGGAGATTCGATAAATTAAAAATTTTTTTTGAGTTATTAAAATAATAAAAAAAATTTCATGTCAATAAATTAAATATGAGCACTTTTTTCACAAAAACTGTAACAGTACTTTCTCAGAAATTACAATCAAAAATGCAATTTCCATTTGGAAAATTAATAAACGCTAAAAAATACACGACCTAAGATTTACCAATCACGAAAATAACAAAAAAAAAGTTTTTTAACATAACATATTTTACTCATTATGACAGCCGTTTGGCAAGTTTGGCAGACGTTTCGCTGTTTTGCCGAAAGGAGGAGATTGGCGCTGTTGTTAACCACCTGAAATACATAATCTACCAAAGGGCTGTCACAATCAGTAAAGCAGTATCAATATGTTAAATATTTAATAAAATTTTTTTTTTTGTTATTTTCGTGATTGGTAAATCTTAGGTGGTGTATTTTTTAGCGTTTATTAATTTTCCAAATGGAAATTGCATTTTTGATTGTAATTTCTGAGAAAGTACTGTTACAGTTTTTGTGAAAAAAGTGCTCATATTTAATTTATTGACATGAAATTTTTTTCATTATTTTAACTCAAAAAAAGTTTTAGCTGGTATATATCTTGCCAATAATCAATTATCCATAAAGGAATAAGCATTTTACCATCTTGTTTTCAAGAAAAGGCTGTTGAAAATTTTCCAAAATTTTAGTATCAATGTAGATGGCGCTGCCTCACTTGGACATGGCCTTAAATACACCATTGTATTTTTCTTTTCTTCTTTTTTTCCGAATTTCTCATAAATAAATTCAACTATCTCTTTATAGGTTTTCTTTTTAAATAAAATTTCTCTCTCCGCTTTTGGAGTACATGGCTGTAATAATTCTGTAAAATAAGAATTCAATAAAATCAAAATTCTGACAAATGACATTTTGGTTAAATAAAACTTATGCTACATGAAAAATTGATTACATATGGAAATTCCGTTAAATACAAATTTTGAAGAAATGAAAAGAGAATGAAAGAATTTCCGATGGGATTCCGACGGAATTCTGACGGAATTAGGACTCTAAAAATTTTGAAACAAATTAATCGGAATTCCGTCGGAATCCCATCGGAAATTCTTTGGAACTCCGATGGAATTCCGACGGAATTACGTTGGAAGTTCCGGCGGAATTCTGATAGAATCTCCATGGGGCACTTTCCGGGGAATCTTTCCAAGTGGGGTATAAAAAACAAATAGTACTTTTAAATGAAATTTTTATTTAATTTTTTTTTTTAAAAAACTTTATAAATGAAAAATAAATTTTGCAAATTTCATCTTTATAATTAGAAACTTAAAAAATATAGGAAAATTTTGATTTAAAAAAAAAATTATTTGCGACTTTTTGAAAAGTCTTAGTTAACAAAAAAGGAAAATAATAAATTTTGATTTATTTAATAGATTAAAAAGTTTTATTTTATTATATATATATAGTAGAACGAAAAATTCTCAAAAAAAAGAATGCAGTAACTTTCCAATATGGAATATATAAATTAAAGATATATTATATTTATACATAAATGTAAACTTATATAGAAACTTTTTTTTTTATTTCAGAAATCCATAATGGGTCTCTACATACCAGGTGTAGCAGGATTCGCAACATTCTATTCCGGAATCCTGGGAGTGGGAATATGCGAGGCAATACTAAAAAGAAAAAAACTCCAACAAGGACAGGATCAAATGCTCCTGGGGAATAGAGATCTTGGAATTTTTTGTGGAGTATTTTCTCTTATTGGTGAGTATTATTGGTTAAAAACTATATTTTAAAAGAAAAATTCAAATTACATATTATTTTCTAAAAATTTATGCTAAAAAAAAAAATTTATTTGATTCAAATAATCGGTTACTTGACTATTATCAAATAAATATTTACTTGAACCAAATAACTTTTATTTGAATCAAATAAACTGCATGTATGTATGTATTTGTATGGTATTAACTTTTCGCAAAGTTAAATTTTTAAAAATTTTTTTTTACATTTCTATTTGTTTAATAGAAATATTTCTATTTTTATTTTAGTATTAATCCTTAACTGGCACAATTCCGCGTTCGAACGTAAATGGCACAATGGGTCTACTGGACCCGACGTATTCAAACGTGTATTGTAAAGCCTGTATTGAATATTTTTGCACAAAAATTTAATCTGAGGTAGCTTATGCCCTAATAACACAAGATATCTTGGGATATATTGGTAATATCCCGCAGATATCCCAGGGATATCAAAAGGATCTCTTAAGGATATCCAAAAAATCGGCGGTTTGGATATCCTTTGGATATCCACATGATATCTTCTGGATATCTCTATAGACTTTCATAAATGTCCTCCAGATATCCCATAGATATCATCAGGATATCCAATAGATATCGTCAGGATATCCCACAGATATTTTCAGGATATTCTCAGTATATCTTCTGGATGTCAAGAAGATATTCTCAGGATACATTAAGTGCATGAGTTTATTTAAAAAATTTGAAAAATGCGTTTCAAATCTTCATTTAAAATAAATTAGAAGCTCATAAGATTTTTGTTTTTATTATATTATTATTCATTATATTAGCTTAACAATTTTAACCTTTAAAAATATATGTTGAGATATTAAATATCCCCTGAATATCCCACGGACATCCTGAGGATATTCCATGGATATCCTGAGGATATCCCACGGACATCCTGAGGATATTCCATGCATATCCTGCGATATAATATCCAATAGATATTTTGTGGATGTTTTAGGGATATCATGTGGATATCCTATGGATGTCCTTTTGATGTCCCAAAATATCCTGGGGACCATTCTAGGATATCGACCATTGATATGGATATCCCATGGATATCCTAGAGATTTTGTTATGAGGGTGATGTGTTTTTTAAAATTTCATAAGTTTTATAGGGATTAATTTATTTCAAGTTAGTTAAAAAAAATTGTGAAAAATAAAAATAAAAAATTTGCGTGTTTTTACTTAAAAATTCATGAGCTATTTAAATTTTAATATTTTAACTTAAAAATTGAAGGTTATACTCTTCATGTGTTATTCTTTAAAGAAAAAATTACCATACAACAGCAGGACTTGCAAAAAAGGTATTTATTTTGCAGAATAAAATGTGACTTTTTAGGTTAAAATTAAAAATTTATAATTATTCATGTTTGAAGCTAATTTATTATTTTGTATCGAATTATATAATTATTATTATTTTATCAAAAAACTTAGAAAATTACTAAGAATATATGTCAAACTAATATATTAAAATATAAAAAATATAAAAAATATACACATTCAATTAATTTGAGCTCGAAAAAAATGCTCAGGTCTACTGGACCCATAATAGTGCCAGTTAAGGATTAATTATTAGTTATAATTTATTAAAATTATTTCGTTTATGAATATTAATTTTTAGATAATTTTATTTGAAAAATATTTTTCCAAATATAAGAAACAAATGCTATATACCTATTTTTCTTACAATTTATAAATTTGAAATGTTGAAGCAATTTCATCATTCAAAATTACGTAAGTAGCAATATCCAATGATACAAATCTCCCTTAAGAAGATTCTTTTTCAGTTAAATGATATATATGGTATATAGAAAAAGAAAAAATATCATGGATATTTCATGTACATTGCCATTATGCATGAGTCTGAATACATATACATAAATGCATGTACAATATATATTTTCACACAGTCTATAAAGTCAACGAATAATATTACAAAGATGAAAAGAATAGAAAGATTTCTTTTGAATTTATGAATTTTCACTAATTAAAAGTGGTGGATATAATAAAAAGTTGTTTTTGGAAATTTAGTGCTGATATATCAAGTATTTCTCTTTTTATATATAGCAAAGAAACAAAAATAAACATTTTTTGCTTCCTCATGGAGGAAGCTTTGTAGTCCTTTCGTTTATAAAACTTTTCAAAGTGGCGGAAACAAATTTTTTTCTTTATAGAAACATGTTATATGAGATCCTGATCAATTGTCCGGATGTATGTATGTGTGTGTGTGTGGATCCCTTTTTTGTTTAGAAGATAACTTTAACAGGTTTTAATGGATTTAAATAAAATTTGGTAGGCTCATTTATCATATTACTACCTCAAATCTGACCAAAGGATTTTGAAAAATACCCCAAAAAAAAAAATTTTATCGTCTTTTTTCCAAAAATTTTTTTTTAATCGAAAAAAATTTTAAATAGAAAAATTTAAGGTTACCCTCACAGCACCAGATATCCTAGGATTTTCCAAAAACATCCCTTGGATATCCTAGGGATACCCCAGGGATATCCTAAGGATACTTTAAGGATATCCAAAGTAGCGGCGGTTAGGATATCTTAGGGATATCCCAGGGATATCTAAGGATGTCCCTAGGACGTCCCAGGGATATCCTAATCATTTCCCCGGATATTATTAGGATATCCTCAGGACGTCCTAAGGATATCCCAAGGATATCCCTGGAATAATTAGGGATGTCCTTAGGACGTCCTAAGAATATCCACAGTATGTCTATATCTAAAATGATTTACCTCCCTAACAGCTTCCGGATATTTAGGATATCCTACAGACGTCCCATAGATAACCGTCGATTAGGATATCCATAGGATCTCCCAAGGATATCCGTTAATATCCTATGAATATCCTAGGGATATCCTAATTTCCGGATACGACTAAGATGTCCGTCGGATATCCTAAAATATCTGTTGCTGTTAGGGCTTGTCTACAAGAATTCTTTTTTCTACTTTTTCTTTAAAAAATCTCTTGAAACCAACTTAAGCGCTAACTATTTGTATCAAAAAATCGCTATCTCAAATAGTCAAAATTTGAATCATATAATGATATCCTAGGGAGATCTTAGCGATATTTCTGAAATATTTGAACGATATACCAAGTTTATCCCAAGAATATCCCCACGATATCCCCACAAGAATATCCCTGGAATATCCCAGGGATATCCCTAAAATATCCTCAGGATATCCCCAAGATATCCTCAGGATATCCTCAAGATATCCCAGGATATCCTCAGTATATCCCCATGATATCCCAAAAATATCCTACGTTACGACGGTTTGGATGTTCTTTGGATATCTTCAGGATATCCTAGGATATCCTACGTTTTCAGGATATCCTCAGGATATCCTTTTGTTGTGAGGGTATATATAATAAAATCGTATTCCTTACGTCAAGACGAATCGATCGATATATATAAAGTATACATTCGAGGTAAATTTAAAGAATTAATGAAAGTTAAAAAATCAAAAATTCACATTTTGGCTATAAAATTTTGCTTTCTCCACGAGGAAGCAAATTTTTTTGCTGATCGTAAAGAGGAAGCAAAATGTTCATGTAATGAACATCTGTATTTACAACTTGTTTTTAGAAATTTTTGACGAATTTTCATTTGTTCGAATTATTATTATTTAACAAAATACTTAGAAAATTATGTTAAAAATTTTCGGTTAATTAAAAATTCTTTAATGAAAATTCTATATCAAAAAATAATTCAGAACAAATAAAAATTCGACTAAAAGAAAATTCAATTTAATGAAATTCTATTAATTAAAAATTCTAACAAATTAATTTTAGATATTATTCATGCGTCTAGTATATAATTTTGTTGAATTTAATTATTTATATTTTCGAGTTTAGAGAACTCGGAGAGGTTCATTATTTTATTAAGAGGTGTGTAAAATATGTATAGGTGTCATATATATATATATATATATATATATATATATATATATATATATATATATATATATAAAGAATGAAAAACTAAATTAACAGACATGATGCAATTAAAAATATTTTTAGTTTTTCTTTCCCACAACTTTTCTCATAAAAAGTTTCACTTGTTTTATTTGACTATACCTAATTATTATAAGAAATTTTAATAATTAAATAATAATAATAATAAAATATTATATTATAATTAATGTTAACAGAAAATCCATGTAGTTAAAAGTACGAGTAAATGTTTATTGAATGACGTTTGGATTATTTTGTTTAATTTAACTCGGTATTACAATACTTTCTCCATGAGGAAGCAATATTCAATTAAAAATGATTTCCTAATTTTTAAAATCATAAAAATATAGAAAATGGGGACAAAATAAAAATTATACAGACAGAATAAAGTTTTTGCTAATTTAAAAAAATCAGTTTCTTTGATTTGTTTCATTAAAAATAAATTTAACTTGAAAATAAAAAAAGAAGATTGTAAATAATTTCAAAATAAAATTAAATAAATAAAAAAAAATTCTTTAAATAAAAGAACTACGTTTTTGATTATCAAACATTTTTAGTTAAAATGACCCGTCATGTAAATTTCCCGTTACCAGAGTAAAAAAAAATTCTAATATTATTGATATAGAGTGAAAAAAAATTGTTTATTTAAAAAAAAATTTTTTTTTTGGTTGTAGAGATATATTTTTTAAATATTTTTTTTATAAATTTTGTGCTTCGTATTTTTTTTATACAAATTCAAAAAATGCTTATATTCAAAGAATATATGAAAAGGGAGAAAATATACAGAATACAGACAAAATGGATGTTGACGCGATTGAGAATATACTAAAATAAATATTTCGTGATGTTATTGAAAATTTTAAATGCAAACATATAAGGACAATATTACTTATTAACTGTCTTTTATTTGAAGTCTGACTCGTACATATATATGAATATTGTGTGGATAATGAAAGAAGGAAAATATACAGACAAGAAAAGGGTTTAGAAAACAGA